TAAAATTAAATTAGAAACTTTTGCTTTTAAGCCTTCAGTGACTCTTAGTATTTTTCTTTTTTCTTTACTCACTTCAAAGGATAATGACTCATCACCTTCATCATGGAAAGGCATGGTAGATTTATTTGAAATATATCTTAGGATTAAACTGCCACCATCATGATGCGCTCACTATATGCAGTGGTCTAATTACTAAATGACAGTGTTTTAGATGTATTTGAAAAAATACTGAATTACTTTCTAGAGAATGAATTAGGCAGCTATTTTCAGGTGGACAGTGATCCACTTCTCTCAGGAATGGTTATATCCAGAAATAAATAAGCACAAAGCTTATGGTGACGTTTATTTTCTGTTTAAATACTCCACCAGGACTCCTCTTTAAACAAGAGGCTCCTTTTTAAAAATAGAAAAATATATTCAAAATGTAATCATATGAAGTCATTTTTCAAAAAAAAAAACAAAACAGAAAACAATACATAAGTTTCATTTGAAATGTCAGATCAGCTGAACACATGGACCATTTCAAAGGATATGCTAAGACTCCCAATTTTCATATTATGTCATGTAACACCTTTACTTTTAATAAGCAACCATGGCTCTAAAATTAGTCTGTAACAGAAAACTGCAGAATGTACATAGCTCTTACACAATATGTTTTTCTAAATATCTCTTTCCACAAAACTTTTTTTGAAATAAATTGGAGAAAAGTATTTTTCTATTAATTTTAGAGACGGAAAAATCAAAGTAACCAAAAAGGTTATGGCAGTTTTCCATGGTTACTTGGCCAATCAACATTGTGGTCATGTACCTCCCAACTCTACTTCTAGCCATCGACTGTTTATGGAGTCAATAAAACCCTACTTGGGAGATATTTTGGCCTTTATCAGAATGAAAATTTCAATCCTAATCATGTTTGCTTCCTTCTAAGTATATCACATGTATGCTAACTGCATAACACAATGCCATCCAGTTAATTATGACCCATAGTGACCCTGCATCAAAACCAAAAAACCAAACTCACTGCCATCAAGTGGATTCTGACTCATAGCGACCCCTTCGGGTTTCTGAGGTGGTAAACCTTAATGGAAGTAGATTGCCCAGTCTTCCTTCTGCGGAGTGGCTGGTGGATTTGAACCACCAACTTTTTGGTTAGCAGTCAAATGCCTTAGGCACTGTGACACTAGAGCGCCAAGTGACCCTTTAGGAGATGGTAGAACCACCCCAAAGGGTTTCCAAGGCTGTAAATCTTTATGAAAGAAGACAGTGTCATCTTTCTCCCAGGGAGTGGCTGGTGGATTTGGACCTCCAATCTATTGGTTGGTAGCCAAATGCTTTAATCACTGTACCACCAGCACTCCTTTCGGTAAATGCATAGTCTAGATTAATGATTCTCAGCTCTAATTGTCTTAAAATCCTCTTGGGAATTTTTTTTTTTTTAATACTGACCAATTAAACATTACTTAAGACCAATTAAATCAATAGAGTAAGGCCCTAGCATTAAGACTAGTTACATAATTTTGCAGGGCCTAGTGCAAAAGGAAAGCAGCTCTGGTGGTGTAGTGGTTAAGGCATTTGACTGCTAACCAAATAGTCCCTGGTTTGAACTCACCAGCTACTCTGTGGAAGAAAGATGAAATGATCTGCTTCCATAAAGATTTACAGCCTTGGAAAACAAATGGGTGTTGTCATGAGTTGGAATCAACTCAATGGCAGTGAGTTTGGTTTAGGTGAAGAAGGAAAATGTGGGACCCTGTGATCAAAAAGGACCTCTGGTGGCATAGTGGTCAAAGCACTTGGCTGGTAAGCAAAAGGTCGAAAGTTCGAATCCATCAACCACTACATGAGAAAAAGATGAGGCCATCTGTTTCTGTAAAGATTCACAGTGTTGGAAACCCAATGGGGCAGTTCTACTCTGTCCTAAAGTGTTGCTATGAGTTAGAATTGATTCCATGGAAATGGTTTTGGTTTTGGTTTGGGAGCCCTGGTGAATGAAGTGATCTCTGTTATCAACATCATTTTATCAGTGGTAACAGTGGTTGGGAAGTAAGACCAGTAGCAAGATTCTCTGAGTGGCTTTAGAATTTTAGAAAAATGTATACTTGCCCATAAACTACTCATCTCAGTGAAACAAAAGGTGCAAGATGTAGCTGAGAAACATAGCACATTAAAACACAATACAAATCTAATTACCTGGCAACATATGATGAACAGGAGTGGCTATGTTGATGTCCTGGAGATGCTTAAGTGTTTCTGTATGAAACAGGCGAAGTGTGGATCCAGTTGTAAAAGCTATCCAAATCCCAACGCCAGCCACTGCCATGTGAGAGATCACCATGCCTTCTTCTTGGTGGGCCTCAAGCTGATTCTGAGAAAATCAACAAGAAAGTAATGGATGGGAATAAGTGGAGAATGTACCTGTAGCTCACAACACTGTGCCACAAAGTCTGCTCAAACAGGTGCCTTGAACCATATATTGGAGTTTTATGCTGTGTAATTTGTACTGAAGAGCAAAGATATCTCCTTGAAGACTAAGATGTGCCTAACCCAAGCCACGGTATTTTCAATTGCCTCATATACATGTGAGAGCTGGATAATGAATAAGGAAGGCGGAAGAGCTGATACTTTTGAGTTGTGGGGTTGGTGAAGAATACTGAAAGTACCTTGGACTGCCAAAAGAACAAACAAACATGTCCTGGAAGAAGTGCAGCCAGAAATGCTCCTTGGCAGTAAGAATGGCCAGACTTTGTCTCACCTACTTTGGTCATGTTGTTTGAAGGAACCATTCTCTGGAGAAAGATATTATGCTTGTAAACTGGAGGGTCAATGACAAAGGGGAAGGCCCTCAACAAGATGGATTGACACAGTGGCTGCAGCAATGGGCTCAGGTATAGGGATCATGAGGCTGGTAAGGACTGGGCAGTGTTTTTTTTTTCTTGTTGTTATTGTTGTACATAGGGTTGCTATGAGTCAAAAATGGCTCCACAGCACATAACCACCACCACCACCACAACAACAAATTTGTACTAACCAGGAAGTGTCCTATTTGAACTGTAGGGCTATTTACCAGGCACTTTCAATGATCTAAACATAATTGAAATTATTACTCTAAAACTACAGACATTTCTTGGTAGGTGAGAAAATGACACTAGCAATTAAATTTCTCTTTTTATCAAGCAGATCAGTGTACTATACAGAACTTAAAATTTTCCAATTATCACAGCATCCGTGTGAGCTGAGAAAGCTACAACTTTGAAAAGAGAGCCATTGTAAGCACGCAAAAGGACTCAAAACCCATTAAGGAATGACTGAAAGAAAAGAGTTGTGTTTAAAACTAACACAAGACCATTGTGTAGGCTGGCAAAATAGGAAAATAAGAGGGAAGTGGGGGTGAGCAATGGGAGTATCCGGGAACTAAAAACTCTGCAATTGCTCAAGGACGCCAGTCATTTCCCATTTGATTCTGGGCATAGAGCCTCATTATTCCCTTCTTAAAACTTTCCATAAATTCTTGCTACCCACAGAATTAATTGTCTCGTCTCCCTTGCTTTGCATATGTGGTCTTCCCTGGACGCAATTGCTCTGAACACTTTTTGCAGGGAAAAACTTCAAAATCTGGGTTTCCCATGTTTCTCTGAATTTGCATTCTCACTTCCAAACTTCAGTTCCCCTGGAAGAGCTGTCTTTTGTTTCTCTACTTGACCAAGTCCTTCCCAAACTTCCAGGCCTAGTTAATGCCTACGTTTTTATCCTTATAACCCTGGTCTACAGATAACCCCCAAAGTACTTTTGTTTGGGTCCCTTAAACATGCTATCTGATGCCCTAATCTGTTTTCTCATATGTATGCCTGACATTTGGAGCTCTTCATGGCAGGGGCTGTGATCGATTCATTTGTGCTACTAACACCTCACATACTTGCACAGGGTTGCTGGGTGGCAAGAAACATCCGTTGCTGCTATTACTACCTATTAGGGATTGGAGGAAATGAGTGAGAGATGGGGATAGGTCTTAATGACATAGTGCAAAGAAATATCATTCCAAATAAGCTCTTGACATTTACAACAGATTAAAATCCTGTGTAATACTCTACCTTGAAATAGTGTACTTAAAAACCCTACTAGGAGCTCCGGTGGCGTAGTGCCTAAGGCATTTGACTGCTAACTACAAGGCTGGTGGTTCAAACCCACCAGCCACTCCATGGAAAGAAGACTGGGCAATCTACTTCCATAAAGATTTACTGCCTCAGAAACCCAAAGAGGGTCACTATGAGTTGGAATTGACTTGATGGTAATGAGTTGTTTTTTTAGTTTTTATAGGAAAAAAAAATCAGCTTACATCTCTGACCTAAGAGCTGTTGCACAAATCTGGGAGCCCTAATTTATGGCATAAATAGACTATCAAACATAACCGAGAACATGCAGGATATAGAAGAGAAACTAGATGACTGGGACCTTTTAAAAATTAATTTCTTGTGTGTATTGAAAGACTTCGTCAAAAGGGTAAAAAAAGAACCTATAGATTGGGAGAAAATATTTGCCTATGACATACCTGATAAAGGACTTATCTCCAAAATCTATAGAAAACTTCAACACTTCAACACAAAAAAGACAAATAACCCAATTCACAAATGGGCAAAAGACTTGAACAGACACTTCACCAAAGAAGATATACTGGCAGCCAACAAACACATGAGAAATTGCTTGTGATCATTAATCATTAGAGAGATGCAAATCAAAACAATGATGAGGTATCATCATTGCAATAATATTATTGCAATAATAGCAAAGTTCAACAAGTCAGAAAGTAACAAATGTTGGCAAGGTTGTGGAGAGATTGGAACTCTTGTGCACTGCTGGTAGGATTGTAAAATGGTACAACCATCGTTGCAAACAGTATGGCGTTTCCTTACAAAACTGAAAATAGAAGTACCATTTGACCCAGCAATTCCATTACTAGGAATATATCCTAAAGAGGTGAGAGAGAGTGCACGAACAGACATATGTATACCTATGTTCATCGCAGCACAATTCACCATAGCAAAGAGATGGAAACAACCTAAATGCCCATCAACGGATGAGTGGATAACCAAATTATGGTATATGGACACAATGGAATAGTATGCTACATTAAAGAACAATGAGGGATATGTGAATCATCTCACAACATGGATGAACCTAGAGGACATTACTTTGAGTGAAATAAGTCAATCGCAGAAAGACAAGTACTGTATGAGCCCACTACTGTAAAAAGACAGAGAAGAGTTTGCTTGGGAAAGAGAACTCACTTAGTAGGTTACTGGGATTGGGAGGGAGGGGAGAGATTAATTTCAGGCTAGTTGGGGCCTATATGCTGACATGGGTAGGGAGAGGGATATACGGGAAGGATCTATGACCACCATGATAACATTAAGAAATGGGAGGACCATGAATTGTGCACATAAGAGATATATATGACAGATACTAATACCAACCAATGTGTTCACAACACCGCATTGCCATTAACATCAAACACTAGGCTATACAGATAAACACATAAACATCTGAGATGATCAAATGGGTCAGTGAACAGAAATATACTCTAGACCAAGGACAGATTCAGCTGAGGCTAATCTTGCACAGACACCAGTGATACAAAATACCTGCAGTCCTTACGAAACAATTGAAGACAGAAACAGAGTAATCCCTCACAGACAACCAGACACTGTGGGAGAGAGATCCAATAGATCTACCATCTCAGGACCATAGTACTGGGGGACATCAGACTCAACTGGCACAATAAAATACATGAAAGCCTTGCTCCACATCTTACATTGGTGAGTAGCGACTGGGGTCTTAAAAGCTTTCAAGCTGCCATCTAAGATGCAGCTAACGGTGTCCTAGCATCAGAAGCAAAGAAGAATGCAAAACAAAATAAAACAAACAAACAAAAAAACAAGGGCATCTGGAAGCAATAAGCCATAGGACACGATTGCCCTCGAGACCAGAAGAACTAGATGGTGCCTGGCTACCAATGCCAGCCACTCAGGAAAGGATCAAATCTGGAGATCCTGGATAGAGTGGGAAGGAAAATGTGGAACAAAATCCAAAAACTCAATAGTGATCAGAATTACTGGTCAGATAAAATCTGGCGAGACTTCCAATACTATGGCCCTGGAATACATTCCGCGCCTGGAATAAAACACACCTCCAGGGGCGGGCTCTCAGCCCAATAGTTAAAAAGGTATACACGCAGACCACTCAGTCCAGCATGACTTGCCCCTCCTTGGGTTGCCGAGGCAGTATCACTATGGAAGTAGATTGCCCAACCTTTCTTCCAAGGAGTGGCTGATGGGTTTGAACCGTCTGCCTTCTGGTTAGCAGTCAAGTGCCTTAAGCACTATGCTACAAGAGCTCCTAACATACCCACATACTCTATGGTAATACATCCCTTAGAGCAATAGACCATGGGACACCAGTGGACCAACATTCAAATTGAGGAAATGCAGGACAAATAGGAGTGCATAAATATGAGGGGTACAGGGGGAGAGTTACAGGGTAGGGAGGGGAGGAGACTGGGTTAGGGTTGGACATGGTAAATGGGGAATGAACTAAATGTACGTGTTATGTTGAACGTAAAACAAGCTCTTAAAATAAAAAAAAGCTGTTGCACAACTTGTCGAAACAAGAGGAAAGACTTTATAATCAACTAAATTATTGACAAGATTGTGCTTATTAATCTTTCTATACCTAGTTTCTGGCAGAATCTGGCATAGAACTGACACATAGAAACAGTTCACTGAATTAAACTTTTAATAATATACCAACATGCTGTACAGAATTAAATGAGCTAAACTGAAAGTGACTATATTAATTTCTATTTTAATTGGATGTGAGATATCATTTTGAATGGCATAGCATCCTTTTAATTTTTCATTGGGGAAAAGAAAAAATGGATGTAGCTGGGTCTATAAGATGGGATTTAAAAGACCAAAGAAAGGAGCTGCACAGGGAGGGGGTGCTTTCTGAAGTCTAGCACCAGGGGCCAGTATGTTTATAAGATGGGATTTAAAAGACCAAAGAAAGGAGCTGCACAGGGAGGGGGTGCTTTCTGAAGTCTAGCACCAGGGGCCAGTATGTTTATAAGATGGGATTTAAAAGACCAAAGAAAGGAGCTGTGCAGGGAGGGGGTGCTTTCTGAAGTCTAGCACCAGGGGCCAGTATGTTTATTAAGCATATAACTGTGCCTGTGTCTCTGTGCACTGGCTAGGTACTGTTCAGTGAACTGTCCTAAGCTGAATCACTGCAAGTGTTGTACTAGTTCAACATTTACTTATATATCTACCAGAGTAAAGTTTTCTCTCTTCAGTGTTCTATGTGACGTTTAATGTG